ATATCTGTCAATGTCATGTCAAAAATAACCAATCATGCAGCATTTGGACCTCACGTCTACGTATTGCCATCTCGCGGATTTTTCAATCGCGAAAACCCTCATTCATAGCGCATGTATAATAATAGACCAAATGAACTTTTATAGATTGTGAAAGAGAAGATAAAGATTTTATTATTTTATTAAAATTGCCACGAGGTAGTTTTTCAGTAGAAACCAGGATTGGATAATCGCTACAGGCAAGTAGGTTACTACTATTAAGGAAGCAATAAACTTATTGAGTATTGAGTATTGAGGTATCAGAACATTTTATAAATATTTTTAATCGATTATATCCTTGTGAATCGTTTTAATAAATTGTCATTTTACTTTTTCAATTAAAACTTTTTCAATCCCTAGTCTTGTCAAACTGTCATAATGTCAACAAATTATAAATGTCACGTCAGTTGACTCAATTTCAGTCTTCTGTGCGTTTATTGTATTTTTATTTCAATGAAATAGTGCTAAAGGGTTAGTACTAAAAGTGAAAGCCTTTTTTCAGAAAGAAAACCAATGTGNGTTTTCCATAATGTACGGTAATAATATATAGGTACAATAATAAATGGTTGTTAAAATTAATCGAGTCCGGTTTTAATGTTTTCATCAATTTCATCTACCTACTTTAATTTATATTTAGTCTGGATACAATAAAATATTATTAGTAATATTATTAGATAAACTCGTATTCATTATCTGTGCAGAAACCAGAAGTAGAAGAGGTATACACTTAACTGTTTTTTTTTTTTTTTTTTAGGGAAATGATAATTTAATACCAAGTAGTGTCATATTTAGGCGGTCTGAGGCGAAACACGCTTTTGAGAAAACTTTTGATACAGTCATTAGTAGTAACTAGCTGACCCGGCGAACTTTGTTCCGCCTTAATGGCAATAAATAACGGGATAAAAAGTATCCTATGTCCTTCTCCTGGCTCTAAACTACCTCCCTGACAATTTTCAGCTAAATCGGTTCAGCCGTTCTTGAGTTATAAGTGGAGTAACTAACACGACTTTCTTTTATATATATAGATATCCTGATATAACAGTATAGATAAAGTCAAACGGTAACCATTGAAAGTACTGTACTGTAACTAACACCAGAATAATGGAATTTGTCCGTTGAGTATTCCAATAAATGAGCTGAATTTGAATTACAACCATGGTTTTAGACTTTAAGTATATTGTATAATATATGTACTATGTGAAAAAGATGTCATTAACATATCCAGAGAATTAGTGGGTGCGTCCCGCCTCAACAGCGATTGCCTGATAAGTTGCCGACCATCAGGGTTAAATCCGCATGGAGAGGATGATCAACTCTGAAGGGCGAACACAACAGAATTTTGTTAGGTTCAAAACGTATGACTTTTGAAACGAGGAGCTTTGACCACAATAGGTACCACGGTAGTAGGTCAGAATGGTACTACTTTTTTTTTTTACGTGGGACTGAGAATGTCAAATCACCTGTGAGCACTCGGATAGCCAAACGTATTAATTACCAGGCTTGCCACATGGAACTAGCAAAAATAGATTTTTCAGATATAATCAATAGCGATGATGCTGAAAATGCTGCGGATATTTTAGTTAAAAAAGTCTCATCGCTAATCATCTCGAACACTATAACCGCACATGTACCGAGTAGTAAGCGCATTATCAAGCCCTGGATAACACCTGGTTTGCTTCGTTGTATACGGCATAGAGACAAACTATACCGCAGGGCAAAAAGGCAGCCGGATAATGATGTCGTGAAAGTNCACTATGTATAATAATACATTAAGATATACTAGTGTTTAAAGTAGTTAACATATCAATATTTAATACACATGCGTTTCAAAAGACAACATTATTTCCATGATAAAAAAATTGTTAAAATANATCTTGTCTTCTGTCTGTGCCCTCTTCTATATCCCTGTTTTCCTGTATCTTCCTTTATTCCTCTTTTTATTATATCGCTTTCCCTTCCTTGAGCCTGGGTATCATTTATCCCTTTCTATCCCGATTCCTAACAGAGACTTAACAATTACTTACTAAAATTAATATTGACGATCCGTCCAACTGATACAAAAATAGTCCCTGATTTGCGGTAAAAATTAAATCATCGATAAAAACAAAAATAACTTATCCTTAATGTATCATTCATTAACAATAATTAATCAGGTGAGCAAAACACGAAACGTAAAACGAGTTTAGTATAGTAGCTTGCGTTGACCGGGTTCGGACGCACGCGATAGACTTTATTTTAAGTTAGGAAAAGTGAATAACTACAGTGAAATATTATTTGGATAGGTAATGTAAAGTTTTATCAGCTTTTTTTTTCAATTAAAGACAATATTTATTATAAATATTGTTTTGTGATACCTATCGCAAAATTTGTGACCTGCGATCGTCGCCGCCCCAGTCACTTTTTTTATTTTTCCAAAACCAAACAGTATCTTAATCACACTGATCAAAAGCGTTGGTTTTTCGGTATCAATAAAATCAATAAAAAATGCATGAATTGTTTAAAAAAAGAACAAGATTTTTAAGTCGAATAATAATAAAGTTTTTGGTGAATAAATAAACCGCATTGTGTGCCTCAGTGGACTAGTGGCGGCAGGAGTTCTCTGGGCTCGCGAAGTTCTGGGTTTGATTTCCAGACTGAGACGTATCGAGATTGCGAACGACTCGATCGATGCTGGTTCATATTTTGTTGTGTTCCTGACTGCATTGCTAAAGATTTTGGGATCTAATTATTAATTAAATCATAGTTTATAAGAAAAAAATTTGAGACAGGCTCCGAAAAAAAGACAGAAATGAATAGTAACAAAGGGTTAATAATACCGGGACGTGTAAAAGTGCGTTTTATAAGCCCATTTGCAAAAATAAAAGAGTTTTATGAGTTTTAATGACAAAGAATTGATGCTACACTGGATGCGGTCTGCAGAAAGGTCAAAGAGTAATCATCATACTTAATTCATACATTACATTATGGCATTCACTTTGACCAGAGAGACCTGACGCTGCATCCAGAATACCCTTATTTGTAAAATTAACAAAAAACTGAGTTTCTATACTATCGAATGCGTTTGATGTAAATGTTACGGTCAAAGTGATAAATGTGAAAATTATGAATAATCACCGGTTATTATGAATAATTACCGCATGATTTGGTAAATGTGATTAATATGAGGTCATTTATGTGTGTATAAAACAAAATAGGCGGCTTAGGGGGTGGCCCAAGGGCCCCCCCCCGCCGCACCTTAACCTATTTTTCTCTTTAAATCAAAACATTATGTTATAGGCATCATGGAAAAGTAATATTATGCAAAAAACATTCCAAACTCATTATGCCAAATTATACTAATATATGATATCAAAACGTTCAAAAGTTTGGCTGTACACGACCACGTACACAAGATGTTGTTCTCTTTTATGAAATTTGTTAGTACTAAGGTTGAATTATGAAATAATCACTGTTAAATGTGATTAATTTATCACTTTCACCGCGACTGTCGGTAATTATTCATAATAACCGGTTATTATTAATAATTTTCAATTTATCACATTAACCGTAACATAAACACACCACTCACACTACGCCCACTGAACACTTCCGTGCATGTAAACATGTTCCATATACATATAGGTAGGCACTTATCCAGCTTACTTTACTCAATGATGAATTTAATGTAAGTTTCATTTTTTATTTTATTTCCGGTTGAAACATTGATCAAGTCACGGTATCAAGTGTTTTTTCATCAACCAAATCAATTCTTTATGGGAGAATTATTTCTGCCAATATCGAGTGAACTCGAGTGGTATCTACTAGGTAGGTATATTTGATTTATTTGTACTTACATTAAACCATGGCTGCTTAATTCTATTGCTTTTCGTGGATTCCATATAGATAATAAGTATGACTTACTTAGTTACCTGTAGGAGCAGCAGGTTTCATCAATAAGACGCCATCGGGTTCAAAGCGGGTTGGTCAATACCCACGACAAACTCGACATTCGATGCATGCTCTAATGTTTTTATAACATTTATTAAACACAAAATGACACCAGATTTGTACACTAATCCATTAAATAAAAAGTGAAAACCATTAAAACAGTTCGATCATGCTTTCCGTTCAACTACCCTACACGAAATCCCAGCCCAGCGGTTTTGATTATGGTGGTTGGTTCATAATTATTGGCAACTAGCTGACCCGGCGAACTTCGTACCGCCTTAGCGTAGAGATTTTCTTAATATTTTTTTCCGTAAGAACCATCCTTGGACTTCCACAAACATTTAAAAAAAAGAATTATCGAAATCGGTTCAGCCGTTCACACGTGATGCCGTGACAACGCGAAACGGGTTTCATTTTTATATATATAGATTATCATATCCATGTACCTACACAATACAGAGAACTAAGTTATGTGAAAGATCAATTTTTAGCTTTTCTTAATTTTTTTCCCGAGTAGTCCAGTTTTTCCAGGGCCGTCTTTAAGCTACTTGGGGCCCTGGGAACTTAAGGATTAAAGGTTACTTTTTAGTTTTTAAACAGACCGATATAATCGTATTTCGAAATATCGATATTTTGCGGTTAATAAATTATAGGTCCCTATCTCTATCCTTCCCTGGGCAAGTGCCTATCGAGACCTGCATGGGCAAGTGCCCAGAGTGCCCCGTTGAATATTCAGTCAATAATTTGGTTTTATTTATCACTAGCTTTCCGCCCGCGGCTTCGCCCGCGTGGAATTTTGTCTGTCACAGAAAAACTTTATCGCGCGCGTCCCTGTTTCAAAAACCGGGATAAAAACTATCCTATGTTCTTTCCCGGGACTCAAACTATCTCTATGCCAAATTTCATCAAAATCGGTTGCGAGGTTTAAGCGGGAAAGCGTAACAGACAGACAGACAGACAGACAGACAGACAGACAGACAGACAGACAGAGTTACTTTCGCATTTATAATATTAGTTGGGATGGGATTTATTTAATTTCCATAATTCACACTGTAAAAACATTTCAACCATTGTTGATGCGTGAGGCAAGAACCATTGCATGTGCAACGACTGCAGTGACCAAAAGTTAGATGCCATCTTTAAGGATGTTTGCAAATTAAAATTCTGTTTATCATTGCTAGATGATGAATACATATAGGTTTATTAATTACACGTCCCAAACATGAGAAAATCGTAACTTAGAGATAATAATCATACCTAATAGGTACTTGGGAGTAAGACGTGTGGACTGTGGAAGAAACTCATCATTGAATTAACTTGAACGAATTGATCCCATTAAGTACCTAATATCAATAAATTGATTGCTCTATTATTGATATTACTTACTGGGAACGGATTATCCACAAAAATGCAAAACCATGGTTGTACTCAGGTCTATTGACTATTGCCCGAGTGGGGTCATCGACCACAGCCGGTTAGGCCACTCGTTTAAAACTGTTATGCACTAAAGAACATCTTGCAATATTTAACTGCAGTCTTGCAGTTTGCATCACTGCAGTGCTAGAATCACTAAGTTGCTCTTATTCCACAAATTGTAGAATTGGAGGCTCTACAACTTACCTACTATAACTACTAACTTAGCAAGCAATTGGACATTTAATAAAGATATCATTGAACACTACTACTACAGTAACAACCTACCTACCAACATTTTTGGTTCTATCTTACTTTTTGCAGCCAGACTTGATCAAACAAACACAGTGATTAAAAAAAGCAACTTGTTTTTCACAGCTTCCAACTTGTCAGAAGGCAGTACCATGTGCCGAGTCATCGTCGTTATCATTCAATTCTTCCGAGGGATAGTCGACCATGTCCTGGAGTTCATATTTGGCCTCTACTGGGACCGACAGAGGGAGCCAGTGCCAGACCTGGGCAGAGACCATGCCTGTCTGACTGAAAGTGCTGTATCCTTGGCGAGGAGGATAAAGAACGGTGAACTGAAGTCTGAAGACCTCGTACGAGCTGCAATTGAGAGGATAAATCAGGTATATATGTATAGAACAGTAGTTAAAAGAAGCCTTTTCTAGGTAAAAAAGATGCCCACTTAATAATTTAGGCACTTTTCATAATTATGGCAAAATTGCTGATAAGTAGCTTTACAATTCCAAGGCTTATGAATTCAGAAATAAAACGCTTGTATTGAAATCTACACTCAAAAACAAGTCTTTTGCATCTTAGTTGACTTTGAATCGGGTTTTCCTGTTAATAATAACGCTGCCTGATGACCAATGCACACTGTGCTCATAATTACTACTTACATGGCGTTTGACACAGCGCGTTCCATTTGCATGAAACGCTCTTCGACGGTGCTTGAAAAAAAAATGCTTTGTGCAGGATCTCAGAACTCTAGCTATCCATAACGATGACCGGTCCTGCGCTGCTCGCATCCAGGTTTTTCCCGTGACCTCCACCAGATCGTCGGTCTATTTATTTATTGATTTTATTCTGGTCAGGTGAATCCGATCTTGAACGCGGTAGTAGGCGAGAGGTACGAAGATGCGCTGGCTGAGGCGAGAGAAGTGGACCAACGCATCGCCATGGGCATCACCGATGACTTCTTCGAAAAGCCATTCTTGGGTGAGAAACGAGAAACTGCTCGATAAATTCCAACCAATCAGATTTTTTAAGGCATGGATCCTCGCACATAGTCCCATGGGCTAAAATATGAATAGGTCGGTATACCTATGTAAGGTTATTTTAAAAAGAAACTTAAACATTTTCTAATTGACAAGGCCTATTATACTGTACAAGACTTCTTGAGTGACAAAATTTGACTAATTTTAATTTTACTTTTATTATCAACTAGCTGACCCGGCGAACTTTGTTCCGCCTTAATGGCAATAAATAACGGGATAAAAAGTATCCTATGTCCTTCTCCTGGCTCTAAACTACCTCCCTGACAATTTTCAGCTAAATCAGTTCAGCCGTTCTTGAGTTATAACTGGAGTAACTAACACGACTTTCTTTTATATAATAGACTAGCTGACCCGGCGAACTTTGTTCCGCCTTAATGGCAATAAATAACGGGATAAAAAGTATCCTATGTCCTTCTCCTGGCTCTAAACTACCTCCCTGACAATTTTCAGCTAAATCAGTTCAGCCGTTCTTGAGTTATAACTGGAGTAACTAACACGACTTTCTTTTATATATATAGATTATCAGATGTACCTATTGTTATTATGAATTTTAATGTATTATTTGACATTCTTACTTGACATATCATTTACATGCCAATATCTTGGTAAAACATGTTGTACCTATCACCTGTTAAAACTGTAAGACCAAATCATGTTGATTTGTAATATGTTTTCACACATGTTTATGTAAATAAATATCTTTATCTTTATCTTTAAGGGACATACCATTTCTTGGGCGGCAGCTGCTTTCCCTTGACTCTCCCGCCCTGGTACGTCCATGTAGAACACTATAAATCATTTATAGCAGAACTAATTTTCGCATGTGAAAAAATCCAAATGTAAGGCATTGGCCTATCGCTGGATCTAATATACCTTCATACCTTCACAGGCGTGCCCTTCACAACGAAGGAGTCTTCGGCAATCAAGGGCCTGCCGTTAACCTACGGCCTATGGAGCAGACGGAACCAGCACGCTTCCCAAGACTGCGAAGCGGTGATCAGGATGAGGGCTGCGGGAGCCATCCCTTTGGCCGTCACCAACTTGCCCGAGCTGCTTATTTGGTAAACTCATTGAAACCCAAGAGAGCATACCAGACTATACATGATTGTTCCGTAGACGTAGCCAGCGCTTCTCAAGACTGCGAGGAGGGGTTCAGAACTGATAGATCAATCCTTTTGGCAGTCACCAACTTACCCGAGCAAACTTTTGTGGTGTTTGTGTTTAGAAATTGAACAAAACAATACTTACTTACTTACCTAGTTCCGGTCAAGGATATTTTGTATCCTGATAATATTGTTATTTGCTAACAGGAACGAAACACGGAACCCCGTGTACGGGACGACGAATAACCCCCACCACACCGGCCGCTCGCCTGGCGGGTCCAGCGGTGCTGAAGCGGCGCTCATGGCTTCCTACGCCACACCCATCAGCTTGAGTAAGTTCCCAAAAGCGGTCAAAAGGTATTTGCAAACGGCATCTAAAACAAAGCTAATTGCATTGTTGTCGGGACCCTCCCTAGTAAGGACCTTAACCGTGTGGGGCCCCTAGATGCCAACTCAGACTTGTGGTTAAAATCTGGGGGCCCCAGGCTCAGGGGCCCTGTATTATTGATACGGCTGTAGCTACACCCCTGAGCAGGCCAGTGGCGGCGTAGCATGGGTTGGCTATTTTTGCGCGTGTAAGTATTTTAAAGAAATATTTTTTCAGGTTCCGATGTGGCTGGCTCAACGAGGATACCAGCATTTAACTGCGGTTTGTTTGGCTACCACCCCACAGGAGAATCTACCAATCTAAGAGGTATTATGACTTACTCTCAAGGTGATAGTTTCAAGGTTTCACCACAAAAAAGTCGAGCGACCGTGGAGTTCGAACCCAAGTTCAAATGTTATGAGATGTTATGATTATTATGTATCTCATACACGTTTCCCAGATACTTCCGACGGCTTCTATCGTCACAGAATAAATTTTAATAAGAGTAGGTAGGTAGTTAGTACCTACTTCGTAATTTATTTACTCGCACGTTTTTTGCTTGTTGTCGAGCATGTTGTTTACGTTTGTTTTGTCGCAGGATTGTTCGACAGAACCGGATACGAGCCCACGATGTTTTGCCTCGGTTTCATCTCGAAGCACGTGGAGGACCTGGCGCCTTTGACGAGGATCGTGGCTGGGGACAAGCAGAAGATTCTGAACCTTGACCGACAAACTAATTTGAAGGTACGATTTACCTACTTAGTTACATCAGATTTATAAAGACAAGTCACATGGACCATTTGCCATTACTTAATTTATTACGGTCCGAAAAAATTTTTTTTCTGCCTATTATGCTATGCTTTTGAGACTGTTTTTTTGGATATTTTGGGCTTAACTTATTGACCTATTTTTTTAACCTTACCTACCTTGCTTTCAGGATGTAAAGATATTCTACACCGAATCCTTCGGGGACTGGTGGATGAGTCCCATAAGATCCGACTTGAGAAATAGCATGAATGAGTAAGTTGTTTTTATGAAATTAACGCTACACACATCATCAGTTTCTTTATTCTGTGCGTCCTCACTCGATCTCCCTGCAGTCAGCCTATTTCCAGACTAAGTTCACAGGATGACATGACAAACAGGGGCGTAGCTACAGCCGTATCAATGATACAGGGGCCCCCAGAGTCGGATGAACCATTAGACAGAGCAGGCCTAGGGGCCCTAGGCTTTTTAAGAAGCTCACCAGGATTCCGCGAACCATGGTCCCCATCTGCTCAAAAAATATACCAATTTTGCAATTACCTTTAATATGAAAAGGGCCCATTGATCCTCAATGGCCTTTTTTAGTTGAAAGGGCCCATAACACATTTTGATTCCCATCTAAGAAACGCTACGCACTATCGATGACCAAGTATAATACGAGTATCTTAATATCTTTTTCCGTTTGTTTCAGCGTTATTTTGAACATGGAGAAGAAATGGCCAACTCAAAACAGCCCCAAGCCGTTCTACCACGAGGGCTTCAATTACGCTACCAAACTTTGGCAATACTGGATGGAGAAGGAGCCAGAAGACTACTTCAGCCTTTACAACAATGGAAACGGCAAACCGTTTATTCTTTTTGAGTTAATCAAAAAGGTAAGTCTTTAGGATTTGGACCTCCTTTGGCTGGAAGTGCTGGAACGGTTTCGTCTCGTCAAGAGCTCAAAGAAGTTTTTCGGTTCGGAAATTTTATGAAGTTATTAGGATAGAGCCTGTTATAGGTAGGCCTACTTGACAAAGAATTTGATCCATTCCAAGCTAACATCATCATTAACAGGTCATTTTTGTCTTCACTGCTGGCTGGGAGGTGGGAGACGGACGACCCTCTCTAATTTGGCCTATATTTTAATGTTAAGTTTTGAGAATAAGTCTTTCGTCCGCAGATCACTGGATTCAGCAGACACACACTGAATCTGATAATTCGTTTGGCGACTCTTCGCTTCTTGCCTTCCGTCAACTCAGAGTGGGCCGAGAAACTGACTAGAGATTTGAAGAAACACGTCTGCGTAAGTCCTACTTAGTAGTTATTGAGGGAGGGTAATTTTATGTCACATTAGTTAGCTAGCAACACTGAAAACAATAAAGTGGGTACGGTGGGAATGGCAACAATATTTTTTGAGGGCTGGATCCACACTTTGGATGCTGTGCTTTGAATCTAAAAGCGGCGCATAACAGTCACTATTAATTCTTTTTAATTCTTATTTTAGGATACTCTAGGAGACAACGGTGTACTGCTGCTGCCCAGTGGGCCAATTCCTTGCCCGTACCACTACATACCCTACACAGGCCCATACAACTTCGGCTACTGGGCTATTGTCAACGTGCTCAAGTGTCCAGCGGTACAGGTGAGTGACTCATCATCAGACAAGAAAAATAGGGTACTTTACTTATTTGGCGTCAGTGTAGTGTACCTATAGTCTGCGTCAGTAGTTACTTTGGCATTCTTTTAAGCTAAAAATATTGATACCGAGTTGTAATACGAGTTTTTAGTAAAATATATATGTAAAATTATCTATGAACGACAAAGTGAAGGTTAAGTTAAAGCGTAATCGTAGTAGGTACCTACTTAAATTATAATAAAAAAAAAACAATGGAATCAGTTGGCTGACAACAACTTTTTCACAGAGGTCCCTAGTAAAAGTTATTTTCGAACTTTTGGTAACTGTTACGAAAAACGAAATTAATCTATAATACACAACAGTACCTACCTACAGCTACCTAGATACAGTCGCCCAACACATCAAACTGCAATTTTCGTTGCAAAACCGCTCTTATCACAACTAAATAAGATGCCACAGTTTCCTCATTTGTCTCACTTCCACAGGTACCCCTGGGCACGAACAGCAAAGGTCTCCCTCTAGGAATCCAGGTGATGGCCGCGCCAGGCAACGATGCGTTATGCCTGGCCGTGGCCAAGTATTTGGAGCAGGAGTATGGCGGAGCCATCATGGCGTGTAAGGCCAAGGGTAGACTGTAGACTGACATGAAGAGCAAAACGCACTGAGGCGGTAAGCGAGCTGCGACTTGAGGAAGCAACTGCACAATCAGTAAAAAAAATCCCATCTTCGTTCCCACTACTGCACTCCTGTGCTGTGGATGGTGTCGTCTGTTCATGGGTATATGCAGTAGGTATGCACTGCCACGCCTCTGCGTCCCGTTTCTGTGGCATGATGCAAATTAAAATTGCCGCCTGTGTGTTTTGTGCTTAACACTTACTTAGCCCACATAAGACATAATAATTAGACTTGATTAGTAGTGGCCCGTGACTTCTATTACTCGACAGGTTGTGCTGAACTAAGATATTGCGTTAAGAATACACTTACGGCCGAATACTGAAACGCCATTTAAATATTTGACGGCTTCTCAAATAGTTAAGCAGCTCCTAAACTTACATTTCGCATACTCAAAACAATATCTGAGCAGTTCTCAATTTTTAAGCACCTCTCAAATTAAGTTGCACTCAAACGCCACTTAAATGAATTTTCGCATACTGAAACGCCATTCAACGCTAAGCATTACTCAAACAACTGTCAAATCGTCTTAAGCAGCTGTTAAATTTGAGAGTGCTTGCGCCACGAAGTAACAACCAAAATAGCTGCTATGAAATCGCTTTACATAAACATGCCTATTTCTGAGGATTAAGGGGACATCGCATAGCAGCATTTCCAAGAGTTGTTGATTTGTCAATTTGATGCTCTGTCAGTCAACAATGATAAATGTCAATTGTGGTTACGTTTCGGTCCACGATCGCCACTTAATAGATTTCAACAATAAAAAGTATCATATTTAAAATTATTTTTTTAATTAAATAAAAATGCAAGCATTATTATTTTTATATGATAAAACGAGATTTATATATAAAAGAAACTAAAAATAAACTGTTCTATGTTAAGTTGATTGAGTATATTTCCATAAAAGACAATACATAACCAAACGATGCTGCGTGTAATGGATGAAAGACGTAAAGTTATCATTTGTGTAAATGAAAACATACTTTTTTTGGTAAGTGTTGCCATTATGTAAACATTTGAGAGCTGCTTAGCTGATCACGGCTTCAAATCCGTTGAGTAGCGTTTGAGAATACCATTTAAAATTGAAGGATACTTAAATTTAGGAGCCCGTCAGCTGAGTGACAGATTTGAGTAGTGTTTCAGTATTCGGCCGTTAGTTATTAAAGCATATGATTATAAATTATCTACATAATATACCCATGTTTTGTAAGATACGATGATAGGTATGTCACCCTGTAACCTTTTCTAAGATTTATTCATGTTGTTAGACAGGTACATATTATGACTAAGACCTACCTACTTACATTTAATAAAAAATAAATAGTTATTTATTTTTGGATAACTACCTACTTATTACTTATACTTACTGAAATTGTTATTATTGTACTCTAAATAATTTACCAATGTTACTTTTAATCTTATTTTATTTATTTCATACTTGTTTAATAGATGTACCTATATTCAATAAAGTTACGTTTTATTATACTTAAGTCTTGTAATCTTTATTCTTTATCCCTTTGCAAGCAGGGCATCTAAAAAACCTACTCTGCCCAAGTTATTATTTAATCCGTCCCTGGGGGCCCTGTAGCCTAGGGGCCCCGTATCATTGATACGGCTGATACACATGTCTCATGGGTATTTTGATAGTATCAAAATTGAGAATTTGAGATAATGCTCTGGAAATAAAATATTAACTTAAGAAAATATTTTTATCGAAAAATGATATGCATTCTGTTATGTAATGTTACGTTATCTTTATCTAAAATAAATAACGATAAGATTTGTATAAATTATAACAGATAGGCTTTTTCTAATTCAGTCAAGTGCAAACATTGTAAGAGATGGCTGGCCTTTGTGATATAGAAGGGAAAACGATTTTGATAACTGGGGGAGCTTCGGGCCTAGGCGCCGCGTATGCTGAAGTTTTCCTGGAGTCAGGAGCACTTGTATGTAAACATCTATTTACTAACCTACCTCTAAATAAATAGGTAAATTAAAAAATAGTTAAATACACCACCCTACCTAAGTACCTATCTGAAAAAATAGGGGGATCAGTGCAAGTTACTTAAGTAAGTGTCATCATCATCATCTCAGCCGTAGGACGTCCACTGCTGAACATAAGCCTCCCCCAATGCTTTCCATGTTGTAAGTATAAGTGCATTAAAAATTAAAAAATACGAATCCTGTAATGGACTCTTTTTTTCTCTTACAAGCCATAAGTGAACTTAGGTGTGATAATTGACAAGGTAAAGAGTAAAACTTGATCTGTTCAAGACTTTTTCTGTATTAGAGTTTTGAGTAGTTAAATTACCGTACCTGCTCTTGAATGTACCTAGTGTACTTACTACACTTAAGTATGTTACACTTAATGAAGATTAGGTACATTTTATTATTATAGGGACTGTTTCATTTTGTTTAACCTAGGTACTCTTATTAAGTTCGTGTACCTAATGATGACTTATTAAAATAATTAAATAAAATTCACTTACAGAAACTGGCCATATTGGACATCGATGAATCCACAGGAAAAGCAACTGCGGAACGGCTGAACCGCACTTATTTGGACAAAGTTTTGTTTGTAAAATGTGACGTCAGCAAGGAAGAAGACATAGAAGCCGCTTTCAAGGAGGTCGTGGAGAAGTTTGGAAACGTAGATGTCGTGGTCAATAATGCAGGCGTTATGAGCGACGCGCCTCACATGTGGAGGAAATCTTGTGATATCAACTGGGTGAGATTAGGATTGTAGAACTTTAGTGCCCTTCCACATGGCCCGGTTTGTAGCGGCCTGCATCCAGCGCCTTTCTTGCTTTATATAGGGCCGTCTTTAACCTACTAGGGTCCTTATCATCTGGAAAAAAGTCTTTTGAGCAGACGGGGGCCCCCTCTGTCGCGGGGCCCTGGGCACATGCTCAAAGTGCCCAGTGGGAATGAGGGGCCTGTACCTTTATGAGGTTCGGTAAACCTTGTGTGTGGACGTCTATCTGTCCAATTTTAGTGACCAATCCTGGGAGTTTTTCAGTTTTTTGATCTGGCAAAATATGGTCAACGCAATAATAGAATCAACGAAGAACGAATTTTTCAAAGGTCTAACCAGACTTCGATGCTAATTAATCGGGAAAAATGTTAAAATGTATTGATGTGGTTTTATACTAATTTTATGTGATTTTGTGTATTGGATGTTTCAGCAAGGCACGGTCTCCTTCACCCTCAAAGCGCTGGCCCACATGAGGAAGGACGAGGGAGGCAAAGGAGGAACCATTATTAACATTGCGTCCGCAGCTTCTTTCGAGAAGGTCCACATAATTCCAATCTACTGTGGCTCTAAGGCTGCTGTACTCCACTTTACTCGTACTATTGCTGTAAGTTGTTTTATTTTTAACTAATCAAAAGCCTCAATCTATGTGTATGAGCNTGTATTACTGGTTAATGATTGTAACGAGTTGAAAAAGTACTGTTTTTGCGCCAAACGGCGTAAACGCTCTTAATACGGTGTTTTTGTTGTGTGCTTGCTATTACAATGAAATAATATGTTTCAGTATGAAGGAGGTGTGCTCGAAATGTTTCTGACGGAAAGTCAAAAGCATTACTATACAGCAATGAAGAAACTTGGCAGAAAAAAGCCCCAAAAAGTAATTAAAAGGCCGAGAAACCAATTCCTTGCGATGTTCTACGATTTGTCGAACTCGCGGCGCTTTGAGATAGCAATATTCGTGCTGATATTCTTGAACATGCTCACAATGGGAATAGAGCATTACGATCAGCCTCATTCTGTTTTCTTCATTCTTGAAGTAAGCAACGCGTTTTTTACAACGGTATTTGGTTTAGGTAAGCGTTTCTTCGTACAAAACTCTGAAAACTAAATCAAAATGATGAAAATTATAACTTTTCGAAATTTTCAGAGGCCATAGTAAAAATTATAGGTTTACGGTATCACTACTTCACGGTGCCATGGAACGTATTCGACTTCTTGTTGGTGCTAGCCTCGATCCTGGGCATCCTCATGGAAGACATCATGATAGACTTGCCCATATCCCCAACGCTGCTACGGGTGGTCCGAGTATTTCGAATAGGGAGAATTTTAAGACTGATTAAAGTAAGTACTGTTTGTATAACTATTGCCAATAATAAGTTTAACGATTAAAAAGAACACTCTTTCATCAACAATGATGTTAATCAAACTTTTTGAAAATGGTCAGGGAACTTCTACCTAGGCTTTCATTTATGGGCTATAGTGAGACTTTTTCCCCATTAATTAAAACGCATTACATTAATTCAGAGAACAATGTACTGAAAAGATATTTCCTAAATATCAATAAATAATCGCATCGACAGCTTCAACATTCAGCAAAGTATTTCAAATAAAAAAATGTCATTTGACTAAAATCTTCCTAAAAAAATCTCATCTCTTCTTTCCAGGCCGCAAAAGGCATTAGGAAGCTCCTATTCGCGCTGAAAGATATTTCCTAAATATCAATAAATAATCGCATCAACAGCTTCAACATTCAGCAAAGTATTTCAAATAAAAAAATGTCATTTGACTAAAATCTTCCTAAAAAAATCTCATCTCTTCTTTCCAGGCCGCAAAAGGCATTAGGAAGCTCCTATTCGCGCTGGTGGTCTCCCTGCCAGCGCTGTTCAACATCGGCGCGCTGTTGGCGCTCATCACCTTCATCTACGCCATCATCGGCATGTCCATCTTCGGCCACGTGAAGGAACAGGGCGCTCTAGATGATCTGGTCAACTTCCAAACGTTTGGGAGGAGTATGCAGCTGCTTTTTCGGTAAGTTTGTTCTTTGCCGCTCATCACCTTCATCTACGCCATCATCGGCATGTCCATCTTCGGCCATGTGAAGGAACAGGGCGCTCTAGATGATCTGGTCAACTTCCAGACATTTGGGAGGAGCATGCAGCTGCTTTTTCGGTAAGTTTGTTCTTTGCCGCTCATCACCTTCATCTACGCCATCATCGGCATGTCCTTATTCGGTCACGCGAAGGAACAGGGCGCGTTGGACGACTTGGTCAATTTCCAGACGTTTGGGAGGAGTATGCAGCTGCTTTTTCGGTAAATTTGTATTTTTGTATTAATTCATTACGAATACGGTACTATTCGCACCTCTCGTTACCACCACTGCTATTTCTGTACAGCCAGTATCTACAGCTTGACTGCCAATAAAAATTGAAGTGAAGGCCATTTTCATTAATAATAACATTTTCATTTTGAAGGTTTCTTCTACGTCACTACTTGTCTATAGCTTGTTTAATATGCCTTACATTCGAAACACATTCAATGTTTCAGATGACTATCAAATATTTTATAAATGCTTATCTTTATTATTTAGCTGATGTAAACTTTTATGCATTCCAGTCTCATGACGTCAGCTGGCTGGAACGACGTGCTGGAGTCCCTTATGATCCAGCCCCCAGAGTGCGAGCTCGGCGACCACGGCCATACTAACGGCAACTGCGGGAGCCCACTGCTCGCCATCACCTACTTCACCTCCTTCATCATCATCAGCTACATGATCGTCATCAATATGTACATCGCCATCATCCTCGAGAACTTCAATCAGGCGCACCAGGAAGAGGAGATCGGTATTGTGGAAGATGACCTTGAGATGTTCTATATCAGATGGTCTAAGTACGTACGCGTTTAAATGCTTTTGTCTTATTATAAGCAGAACCTTAACTTAAGTCAACTTTGTTGTTTTCAGGTACGATCCACACGCAACTCAGTTTATAAGTTTCTCGCAACTATCAGATTTCATTGCCTCGCTGGATCCGCCTTTGGGTATATCGAAGCCAAATACCGTAGCATTAGTCAGTTTTAATCTCCCTATAGCTAGAGGCAACAAGATCCATTGTCTGGACATCCTACACGCTTTAGTAAAACATGTGTTGGGACATGTTGAGGAAACCGATACGTTCAGACAACTGCAGGAGCAAATGGATATAAAGTTTAAGAAACAGTTTCCAACTAGGAAAGAGTTAGAAATAGTTTCCTCCACTCGAATATGGAAGAGAGAGGATAAAGCAGCCCGGACTGTACAACGTGCCTGGAGGGAATACGTAAAGTGAGTTATCTTAAACAAATACAACCTCCATTGGAACCGGTCAGTTCTTAAACATATTCAATTTTTCAGACGAAAAAATCGTAGTCCTTCCAACGAAGAAGAAAGTACAAAATGGTCTCCCGGGGGAGGTTGGGGCGGACGCCTTAGCGCTTTACTCCACGTTCGAAGAAGCTCCCACGCATCAAGTCGAAAGTCCTCACGGGCTTCTGACGCGTCGGACCTAAGCGAACTGGGGGGAGCCTGGCTCAATCTGCCCCTCCTACTGCTGCCAGGCGCAGCACCAGGAGAACAGGTATCAAATTCAATCGCATACGCCAAATTTTAACTATTTTTAGATCAACTTTCAGACTAAGGCCATTTTAAAATCGATTAACATTGCCAATTTCATCTTTATTCGATTATTTTCTATAACTTTTTTAATATTTACTCGTAATTAGTTTAACAGTTTTAGCGTAGGTTCGATAGTGTAGTTCAATGTGTTTTAACTTTGAGCGCTAACGGTTATGCAAAGGTATATTAGCGCAATTTTAAAAGGCTGGCTCTGGTTGACGCTTTACAACGTCTGCTCTGCCTCGACAAGTTTAGGTATTAGGAGAAGGACTAGACGGCTATTGGATGTCCCAAAGAGGAACCAAAATAGGTTTCATTGATTGTTGAGAAGGGATTGGTACATTCCTTCTTCAATACTGTGTAGGAAATACATAGGTTTCCTCCAAACGGGGACCTATTTTCGGACCAATCCTGGATTTTGACCAATTCTGGCTCATATTATTGGACCAGAGTTAGGATTGCTGGGAAAAGACATTTGTGGGGTTCTTCTGTCTAAAGTAGGAAAAACTTAGGGTCTCCTCGAACAAACGGAGACTCATGGGATTATATGGACCAGTGCTGGGTTTGATGGGGACATTCGAGTGTCGTTTGTGGGGTACCATGAAAGGCACAGCATAACTGAGTCCATAAGTTCTTCTGTGTCTAAAGTAGGAAAAACTTAAGTCTCCTCGAGCAAACGGAGACTCATGGGATTATATGGACCAGTGTTGGGTTTGATGGGGACATTCGAGTGTCGTTTGTGGGGTGCCATGAAAGGCACAGCATAACTGAGTCCATAAGTTCTTCTGTGTCTAAAGTAGGAAAAACTTAGGTCTCCTCGAGCAAACGGAGACTCATGGGAATATATGGACCAGTCCTGGGTTTGATGGGGACATTCGAGTGTCGTTTGTGGGGTACCATGAAAGGCACAGCGTAACTGAGTCCGTATGGGCAGGCGGCGTGCTCGGAGCAGGCGCCGCAGCGCCGGCGGTCGGCGTATGGGCTGCCGCTCTTCCTCCGGCATCAGGACGCAATGGACGAAGACGGCCCGAAACGCGCAGGTTCATATGTAATGTTATGCTTTCCGTGTCTTCCTATTAGATTAGCCGGCTTACTAATAAAAACTGTACGGACGGCAAGTAAGTGTCCTTGACTCTAGTCTACATGTTTGGTAAAACATCAAAAAAGATGTTCAGTAAAAAAAATCTCTCAATGAAGATGTTTTAAAGTCTCGACAGAAAAGTTATGCATTTGGTTTAGCGCGTTTCATCTTTATTAAAAAAAGTCGAAACCTGAAGTTATGAAATTGTAAACATTGAAACTTACAAGAGCATAAAGAATTACTGTAATAAACAATTTCACGATTTTTATTACTAAACGTGTTGTAGATCTAGTGACCTTTCTTTTGATTTTAATTATCAATCAATAGACGCTTGAACTCATCACCAACCAAAAGTAATATATTTTTTAAATACTGACATCAACCGTCTATTGCGAGTTTGTAGTTAATTGACCTTATTTTACATTTTATCTCTGTCCAATTTATCGATACAAGAAACCCTAGTGGAAATGCGCATTTTTCATATATGATAGATACATTTGTATTTGAACTAAAAGTTAGCCTTGAGAGCTTTGCATGGACGCTTGTTTTCCTTTCATGACTGATTGTGATGTTGAGAATCCCTACTCAGATATGACTGTAGGTTTGTGAAGCAGCACTATTAGACGACGTGCCTGCTAGTTTTTATCATGGTAATTAGTAGAAGGAATGTCGAATGCTGTGTTTTGTTGTTTTGTTTGAACCTTTTATAATGTTTAAGTTAATCATAAGAAGGCTTCCAATTTCTAATGATGGAAGTTAACTGGGTAAAGTTAAAAGTGTGATGTGTTTGGTCTTAAAAGTGTGATAAATAGTATCTACTATAAGAATTAAGGATGGAATATCCAGCCAAGAATTTATAAGTAGCATTAATTTAGGAAATTACGTCTATGCAGAAATAACATGTATTATACCATTATACCAACAGCTTCTTAGCTGCTGTTGAAATTGCGCCCGATCCTAAGCCAAATATTACAGAGAAGGAGCGCCCTCAAAATAACAATTGCATGGACTGTTGACCGTACTGTGTCCGTAACCGCAGGTTCCCTTCGTTTGAGCTCCCGAAGGAATTCGGCGCGGCGGGCGACGACTCCGGCACGGGCCAAGACGCCTTCGCCCCACGCCAATAACAGCGAGGTGAGCATACTGGTCACCGAGGCGTCCCCGGACGCCGCGCCGCCCCCCTCCGCGCCCCCCACCGTGGTCAGGGTACTAGTGCACCGGGAGAGCGACGAGCAGCCCAGCTGATCCACTGCCGAGCCCGAAGAGGCTCCGCCCCCCACTTAAACGAACGTTTAGTGTCAAAGTTTAGTATTCGCGAGTTAAGTGAATTCGGCGCGGGCGCGGCAAAGTTCGTTATTTGAATTTGAAATAACGGTCAGCGAATTCTAGTTTTTATTATGAATCTTTTGTGTTTGCAAATCCTGTATTAGACTGATCAGACTTTGTTCAGCATAATTATAATTTTGAGTAGGAACCTTACTCGTCATAATAAATAGCAGTTATTGATAAATACAGAACTTTGTCGCGTCTGTAGTTTTGTATGGCATCCGCTAGTTGGCGTTGTGAATAGACTTTCACAAATGGCGCTGCGTTAAGGAAAACTCGACTTTTGCGTGATTAAATCGTATAGTGAACGAATTATTGTGTTCACAAAAGCACGTGAAGTGATATAACGGTTAGTCAAGTTCGAATGTAATTTTGTGATTTTAAAATTTAAATTGTAGCTTACCACGTCTACGTATAAACGGACAAATGAAAGATTTGTGTAGAGATAAGTGGATTTAATTTAGTCTTTTATATTTTTATTATAAAGAAAATGACGAGAGAGAGTTTAGGTCGTATTAATAAAGATACTTTTTTGTTTCAAAGAAAAAGTACTTGAAAATGTGCCGTTACATAATAAACAAAACGTATCAAAACATGAAATAGTTATACTCTTTTCCTAAACGAGAGCTAAATATAATCTAATTATCTCTACATTTGTAGTAAATAGAGTCAATAGTAACAGGAACTTCCAGAGCTGTCGCAATAACGTTTTAAAATATTTCATCGATTCCAATAAGCTTTATGATGTAGACGAAGGAGTACAAGAATTTATTACACAATGCGATGAGTTGATACTTGTCAGAATAGACAAATTGATTATTATCTACATTTTAAAATGTTTTGGCAAATACGAGTTTTAGTAAGCTAGATAGACCTATAGATTGCCGACAATTTTCAGTAAAATCAAGTGCCCGAAATAATAGTATTTTAAGAAATACCTCGTAACAGCAAATAAAAAACTTTTAGATATCTTTTTAACATCAGGAGCCCAGATTGTGGGTCCACCGATATCTAAGTATTTTAAATTCTTTGAATTAAGGCTATCTGGTTAGGTCATGTTTGACCTGCTAAGAAATAAATTTTATTTCATTAATATTTGGCTGAAATTATAATTTGTTTTGCTGTTAAAAGAGATAATTTCAAACATGGTTGTAAATTAATTTGTTGTTGTAAATAATAATGTATTGAGAACGACTGAATCACCATCACACGTCGCATCCCATTGTAAGAATAAGTGAAACGCATGGAGTAAAAACCAATAAAATTATAGCGATGTAAAATGGTGTTCTATCTAAAAATTAAAAAGTAACCTTTGAACACATCAACAAAAACCTCAATAACACAAATGTAATGTATTAATGAATTTGCTAAAAAGAAGTAAAAAAAACATTTGCATGTCAGGTTGTTTTGTTTAATGTATTATTAAGAAAAAAGAGAGACAACTTAGCGATTCAATTGTTTGTTATACAAATTTTATTATAAGGGGTTCGAGCCAAGAACACGCATGTAGCAACATTTAAAGAATTTACTAAGACGTCAATTTTCGCGGTAATAGATAGGCAAATTGTTTTGTACATTTAGCGTAGAGAGCAAATATTAGTGTAGCGATCATTTTTCAGAGTGCCTCTTTGCTCACGCACTTTTGGGTACCAACGCCTATTTTGCGGTATAGTCATTTGACTATACCGCAAAAAAAAAAAGATCAAAAAGATTGTTGTAAATATCACTGCTTGTTATTTAACAAGCAGTGATCTTTACAACAATCTTTGGAAATTGTAATTAAGCAATAACTATTTAAAAGCCATTCTTAATTGCAGTTTCAGTAATAGAAAATAGTTTTCAATAGTGTTGAATATCGCTAGTTAATTTTTTCATTTAAGGGTTTTGTGATTTTAAAATTTCTGTAAAAAAAAGCTTCGTAAGCATTAAAATTGAACGAAGTATTCAAACGTTAATTGACTCGCACAAACTTTTTATTTAATTAAAATAGGATCATAGTGCAATATAATATTCTAAGAGACAATATTCAATTTCAGGCTGTTATAGTTACCATCTCTAGTGTAAAGGCTTATTGGCCCCAGGCTTTAGCAATTCGTTGTACGTTTCATTTGTCTACTTTAGTTAAACACGCTAATTTAAAATAATTTTAGAATATAGCCCGTCCACATTATTTTGTTATTTCATAGTTTAACTTAGCTGCCATGTAGTACAGTCTTGGACGAACATACGGCTGATTCGTCCCAGAGTACACATTATTTTAGATGCACAAAGTGCTTTAAATAACGTTAACAATTTACTACAACTCAAATAAGCAAGTTTCGTTAAAAAGTAAATTTAAAAATTATTAAAATCATTCTTAATAAACGAGACTCAACATGTCTTTTAGATTTAGCTTTTATAAAAAAAGCAAATAAAATTGAATTTTACCTTTTTCATACATCCCTTTAATATTGTGTAGAAAACTTCAACAGGTACTTATCGTGTATTCTTTCGATTTATTAAGGACCAAAATGTCGTCGATTATTTTGTGAATTTACTCTTGACCAAACCCTTTTTGTATTTATTTGTATGTAGAATTTTTCGAGGCCTGTTTCGAATTACATATTCAAGAATTTTAGATGCTGACACCTTAACGTATAATATATGTACCACTTCGCTTTATATCAAATTTTACACATTTTGCTTTGAATCCTTGTAATATTTCAATAAACGACCCACATTCACTATTGAAATTTAAATTGTTAAAAAGGGCATCATAATAAAAATGTTCTAATAGAATAGATTAATTCTCAACTATTGTTCGTTACTATGTAAATAGATAAAAGAGGATGCAATAATTTTTCATAATTTTATCTATAGTTAATAAATTAAAAAGGTTGTTAGAAAATCTTTTAAACTCTATAATTTAATTATGTACGATGTACATGTAAAACTAATGGTAGTTAGTGAAATTGCAATATTTAAAGCATGTGTTGAGCATGGTTCAAATATAATTTGTGTAAAATATGTTTAAATTGTATGATATGTAAATAAAACTTTAAGTGAGACCTGCGAAATATGATTTTCTTCCGAGGTACAAAATATAAATTAACCATGTTGAAAACTATGATTAAACGAAAATATAGAAAAATGATTTTCATTTTCCTTTTCGAAATGCGAATTCCGCTAGCTTTTTATTAATCAAAATCAAAAGAAATAAATGAAATCTACTTGGTAGAAATCCTAGAACGTCGGTTCCAAGAGAAGTTAGTAGCATAAGCCTTAGGCTTGAATTCTCTATCAGTTTTCGGCACATCTATGTACCACATCCATCCATTTTTATCGCAGTGGTCAATGGCCTCTTGAGGGGAAGGAAACTTCATTTTCAGGTTGGACAGTGGATCTCCCGTGGAGGTCCATCCCATCAAGGCATTCTCCCATCGCTGCTGCGTGTCGAACTCTAGTTCCCAGTGACGTATGTTGTTAGTTCCACTTTGCATGGCATTCTTAGGGGGCTGGTAGATACGAACGCGACGTGTTCTAAGAAATTCTTCAGGAAACCCCGATATGGGAGTAAGGTCGACCTGAAAGTATGGCCACGATTGGTGCTGATGTTTTAAGAAGAGTCCTGAAACGGACTGATAACGCGACAATAAGATAACAAAATACATTTTGAATTGAACAAAACTGAACGATTGGACTTAAAACCAATGGTAATTTTATGTAAAATACTGAAATTAGGTAGGTACTCTTCAAAAATTACAGGGAGAGGTAATAAGTAATAAATAAAGCTTGAAAAAGATACAAAAAATCAAAGAGTCATGTAGGAACAAAATGAAATAAATCTGCGTACCATAGTCGGTACCATAATAGTGGACTCCAAATTATTCCTCATTCTGGCCTCCTCGGGACTCGCGAGAAAAGCCTCATTGTCAAGTATCGGAGCTTCCTTAATCCCGGTGCAGTCGCAAGCGGTAAGACGAACGTTATACGCTGAGACACCAGGCAATGACCTATGTGAGAAATATCGTACTTTTTTCAAACTGAGAGGACGAATGTACGACTTTTTTTCTTTCGAAAGATTAAACTAAGTATGTTAAGCATCTAAAGCACCTACTTAGAAGAAATTAAAAGATTTCTCATCTTCATTTACGACAAGGACTGCCTTTCCTCGTAGTTAGGGAACCAGAACCACAAAAAGTGGCCACAAAGTGGCAAAAAGCCACAAAAAGTATACTTAGACAAGCTATTCGGTAGAAAAAGAAGTTGTGTTACAATTCTTTGACGTAAGTAAATGTAGAATTGCAGGTTACGAACGCGTTACGAGGTACGTAAGTACGCGTACGCCCCAATATATTAAGGCAATCTGCAGGTGGCATTGTAGACTGGTATAAAACCACTAGGCCATGACAAAGACTACCTATTGCATCTATTAATTCATAATATAAATTTATGAAATCACTTACCTACACAGGTGAGCCTTAGAGAGTCCGAAAACACGACACGTAGCTTGTAGCATAATTTGAATTCTGATTTCACAGCACAAAATGGGTAAACAAACACAGAAGAATAATAATTATTAACTGAGTGACAGTGAGCATCCAATGACATTCACATTGACATAAAGTACTTTTTAAAAATCTATGGAAATTAAAAACTTCATGTATGCCAGCCAGAGAATAAGATCCTTTATTGTGAAATTTTTTAAGATAGGAAGAACCCTAGTTAAGATAGAAAACATCACCATCAATAGAAGTCCAGTTCAGGTAAATCTTAAAAGACTGTGATTGTTCAAATTTTTGAAAAAATATCAAAATTAAATAAAAAGTTTTTAATGCTTTGCAATATTTAATGGAGTGAATTACACCTATAACTCACTATTTGATCTCTAAAAATTAAATAAATTCAACATTTTACTAACATGTCTACTTAGTGGAGACTCTGGTACGTCGGTTCCAGTGGAAGTTAGCGCCATAGTTCTTGGGTCTTTCGGGTTTCTCTGTCTTTGGTACGTCCAAGTACCAGCTCCAGCCGTTCTTCTCACAGTGTTCGATAGCCTCATCGGGTGTGGCGAACTGTATTTTCATGTTGGACAGAGGGTCGCCGGTGGAAGTCCATCCCATGAGAGGGTTTTCCCAACGTTGGCGGGTGTCAAATTCCATTTCCCAGTGATGGATGTTGTTGGTGCCACTCTGCATCGCATTCTTGGGGGGCTGATAGATGCGGATTCGGCGAGTTTTGACGTGCTCCTCAGGCACTCCAGTGATAGGTGAAATGTCAACCTGGAAAAATTTAATTAAAAAATCTATTTCAGAGATTACAAAAACATAATAGAAATATCATAAAAAAGTAGTTCCATTATAACAATACGCAACTGCGCATTTATAATACTTAAATTGACTATTTAAGTACTAAATAGAACTATATTACCTTGGTTGGTACTGCAATAGAGTCAGCCACAGCTACATTATCCTTAGGTGCAGCTAGAATTGCTTCGTTATCGATTATGGGAGCCTCTTTTTTGCTAGTTGGATCACCAGAGGCAAAACGGGAGCTACATGTTGATAACCCAGGCAGAGATCTAAACAGAAAACCAAAAATTAGAGTTCATCACTAACTGTACTAAAATTAGGTTGGAATACAATTCAGCGTCATCAAATACCTAGATAAACTAGACCTAGTTGAACTCGCTACGCTTCTGATGACTTGAAACATGATTCTGCTTTTCCCAAAAGCAATTTATTGCAATTTTAGCCGCACAAAATTATTACACAACAACTGCGAACATCTGTGATTTTGACAACATCTGTCAGCTGTCACCTTGACTGACTTTGACTTTTTTTTGCAATGAAGTACAAAGTAAGCCGACTGAAATCTTATCCTTATAAAGCGAGCAAAATTGTGTGTCTGTCTGTTTAACCATAATTTTCTTTGCCTCATATGGAAAATTGCGTAAATAAAAAAGTTAATCTGTCAGAAAAGTGGCAAAAAATTGGCTTGGATCGTCGCCGAATTTCGTAATTTTATGAAATTAAAAACAGTGGTAATTACGTGATAATTAGTTGCTCGTAGCGTATGTTTAATAATATAATTTATTTGAGGTGAACTATGGCTGCCTGCATCGTCTCCGAGAAGTATATTATTAAAACAGCTGTTTTCTTGTAAAGGTAACTAAATCTCTGTTTTTTCTTATTGAATTCCAATTAGAGGTATGCTCGGTCAAAATACACGTTATATCTTACCCACCTAATAATCAACTTAAACGATTTCATATATTTGTATGTTTTTAAAAGATATAAAGTTATTCAGTAATTTTAAAACAATGTTAGCAGAGGTCCAGCTCCGAAATGTTCATTATGCACAATTATATTAGTTAGGTTCAAGCTAAATAGCTTCCAATATTCTCTCTCGTCATGTATTTTTCACGTAAAAAGCATAGGATTTTAATTTATTTGTTTGCCTGTTGGTTTCATATGCATAATAAATAAGGCAAGAGTACACTCTGTTAAGTGTCGTAAACTCGAAATAATACGTTTTAATTTGTTTCAGATCGCTCAAACAAAACTTATGTCTTGTTAAAGCACAACACGTAGCCCCTTTGGGGGCTACGAACCTTCTCTGTACAGTGCCTGCTATAATTAGTTTTATTGTTAAGAAGAGTCCAATCCACATATCTTGATATTACTTTAAACACTACCTTTTAATAAAGTATCTCATATTTACGTTAAAGAGAGTTCTATTTTTTTCTTATTAAATCGCAAAAATAAGTCATAATAATAAGCTACGATGAGTAAAAATAAGCCAGAAGTAGACTGCACCCGCCGCTGCAAGTCACGCAGTCATGGTCAAGCTCTCACAAGCGCAATCACCAAGAGGTCCATCGGAGATGAAAAGCTCGCATGCTTTATACGGGCTACATGTGCCAACTTCAATAAGGCTTTTGATTTTGAGGTATGTGATCTTATTATTTATTATTCTTTTTCATCTATTATCAAAAATTTTTTTTATTTGTCTGTAGGATGATACTCTATCGATTAGCTCTGCATAGCTTGGAACTTTATAAATAACTACTATGACTGTGGGAAGATTTTGCTTTTTATAAATATTATTCAACTAGCTTTCCGCCCGCGGCTTCGCCCGCGTGGAATTTTGTCTGTCACAGAAAAACTTTATCGCGCGCGTCCCTGTTTCAAAAACCGGGATAAAAACTATCCTATGTTCTTTCCCGGGACTCAAACTATCTCTATGCCAAATTTCATCATAATCGGTTGCGAGGTTTAAGCGGGAAAGCGTAACAGACAGACAGACAGACAGACAGACAGAGTTACTTTCGCATTTATAATATTAGTTGGGATAATGACGAGGAAAAATTTTGTTTTATTGCGGCCAAAATTGTATTACGAGTATAAAGCTCCAACTTTAGATTACCTACGTATTTCCTAACTAGCTTTCCGCCCGCGGCTTCACCCGCGTGGAATTTTGTCTGTCACAGAAAAACTTTATCGCGCGCGTCCCTGTTTCAAAAACCGGGATAAAAACTATCCTATGTTCTTTCCCGGGACTCAAACTATCTCTATGCCAAATTTCATCAAAATCGGTTGCGAGGTTTAAGCGGGAAAGCGTAACAGACAGACAGACAGACAGACAGACAGACAGACAGACAGAGTTACTTTCGCATTTATAATATTAGTTGGGATTTGTTTTTATGGCAAAACCTATATTGTAACTTGCACTACTAATCGTTCAAGAGTATTGTAAAGCTTTCAGAAAAAATCACCACTTCAAAATGCTATGCTGCCATCCACTTTTAAGCTCATAGCAGCCTTGAAAAGGGAAAGGAAGGGATCAACACTGTATCGCCTTTCGTACGCGTCAATTGCGAGACGAGGCGTTTACCTTACGGTGTGCGTGTGCATTTCAGTATGGAGTTTCATACAAAGAATACTGACCGCCTCGAGTTGATACGGTTACGATCCCTTTCCGGGTTGATAAATGTGCGACGTCCTTAATACGTCGACGTAGGCGTTAAATTACTTTGTTTTACAGGGTCGCACCGCCCTCCACATGGCTGCCTCTCGCGGTCGCACCGTTCTTATGGACTGGCTCGTGCGACACTCTTCGGAGGCGTTCGCCAACGCTAAAGACCGCGAGTCAGGGTACACCCCGCTGCATAGAAGCATATTCTATGGGCAGATCACCGCTGCTGTCTCTTTGATGAAGATGGGTAAGTTTGACTGTCGTTTTTAAGCCAGGCTTTGGTTGGGCATTTAAAAAAAGGAGGTGGTGATGGTCCATGTGAAAGATAAGTCAGATAATCGCATCATCATCTCAGACATAGGATGTCCACTGCTGAACATAGGCCTCCCCCAATGCTCTCCATGTTGCCCAATTGGTAGCAGCCTGCGTCCAGCGCCTTCCTGCTACTTTTACGATGTCGTCGTCCATCTCGTGGGTGTGGACGTCCCACGCTGCGTTTTCCAGATAATCTCAGTATGAGCTATTTGATATTTCTGAAAATCTAGCTAAGCTTGATTGTTTATTTCATGAGCCTCAGATAGATCAATATCGAATATCTTCATCTAATTTTTTGTGAAGAAAAACGATAGTGAATCAGCCAGCAATCATTAAAAAATATTAGTCATCTATCCAAAGGAACGTGAGCAGAAAAATGTAGTAGCCATGGCCCTTAGGGTTCATTATCGTCTGAAAATAATACCTAGTCTTTCCCTCATTCTCCAGGCGCGCTCACCGACATAGTAGACAAAGACGACTACAAAGCGATCGAGCACGCGATGCTCGACCGCCAGTATATGTACAAGCACGAGGGCTCGCAGCCGGCCGAGGCCTACGTCTGGGGCACAAACTCCAACTACACGCTCGGCACTGGGGCGCAACAGCAGAGGAACACCCCAGAACTGCTGGGAGCGTTTAGCCGGACCAATGTGTGCGTGAAACAGGTCAGTTCAATCTTCATTCATAGAATAAAATTGATATTTTTGTTGTTGTTGTTACGTATATGGCATTTTTTTTTTAAGATTATTAGTACTAATAGTCCCGTTAGCCCCTCGTGGCAAGCTAAATATGCTTGCGTTACGAGTGGGCTCACCAACAATAGTCGAGCGGCGGCGGGGACCGAACCCGCGTTCCTCGGAGTCGACCAGTCCGACCCCTTCACCGTTCGGCTAACGTGGCTTCAAAAATTTACAAAACCAAAAGAAAACAAAGGGTGCCAAAAAGGTCTTCTCAGCATAATATGTCGTTGCAAACTTTGCCACAACACTGGTTTTCGAGCAGGCGCCATTATGGCTCGTAAGTTAGGATTACATGTTAACGTGTAGAAATACCAGGCTATTTATGTATTTATATATTATTTATTTATAGGCTTTATGGTTGTCTAGAATTCCTAACTTACATGTTTCCTAAACGTAACGTCAGGTTTTTAGTCGGCAGACAGGGCAAGAAAGCATTTTTCAGACGAAAAAAATGTTTCCTCAGTTCAGCCAAAAAAACATCTTCTAAACAAACTTCATGCTCGGAAATACCATAAATAAAACGCTACACAAAAAAATACAGCAGAACTCGTCAATTTCACTTGACAATATTTGTCAAACAAGAATTATTTGCAATGATTTTTTAATTCGTTTTCCAATAACAATTTCAAAATGCATACAGTTGGTTTGCCGCGCACGTGTTTAGGTTTCACGAATATATTTTTCTTCTTGATCGGATTCATCGGTGCCGTGATCTGCGTATGGTGTGTCATCAACACGCAGTTCTTTCAAGACGTGAACTATACGATCACAAAGAGTTCCCATGTGAACAGTATAGCGGAATTCGTCAATTTAAAGCTATGGGTGACCCCAATGACTACGGTGCTCATCATCTTAGCTGCCTTGACAATGATGACGTCCTGTTGCGGAATCCTTGGCGCAGGCTGCAAAGTCAAATGCGCGATCAAATCGTACATTTTCCTCGTAACCACCATCTCCTCAATCGCATTCTGGCTCTTCTTCATATCAGGAGTCTACAACATTTACACGAAGAACGAAAAGACTCGGCATTATTTAGAAAGGACCATCCAAACGAACTACGGGAAAGAGAACGACTTTATAACGTACTTCTGGGACTACATCATGATGAATTACGAATGCTGTGGCGTTAACAGTTACAGAGATTTCGCGAATTCGAACTGGCAGAAGAATAGCAGAAAGTTGTACCCTGTCGAGTGTTGTAAATTGGAAAATCGAACCGCACTTTTGCCTGTTTCTAAAGACTGCACGTTGAGGGTTGGTCCGGATATCGAGGGGTTCACAGAAACCGGTTGTTTTGACGTTCTGGGCAAAGCGTTGGGAAGAAACAAGGGGAAGATGATATTCTACGTCATTTTATTGGCTGTTTCCTATACTATTTTGATTCTGTTCGCGTATTGCATTATCAGAGGCGAGCCGTTGCTTGGTGCGATGGCTGGCGAATTCTCGTTTCTGCCTTCGAAGGTGCACCAGAATCCGACCCCAATGGTTCCTGAGCAGTACGTTGAACAGTATGCGAAACCAAATGCTCCTTATGTAGAAGAACCTCCGAAAAAGATCGTCAGAGTAGTGTCGGCCGTGAATCCTTTTCAATCGTATAAGTTTACACCAAACGCGTACGCAGGTGACGGATACCCTCATCAAATGTAATCAATAAACTATTAATTCAAATTTGTTTTTGTTTTGTCTAGATTAACCTCTACAAAGTCCTTATCGGTCAAACGGGCCAATTTCGCGATAAAAATAATGAATGAGGTTGTTGATACTTGGCAACAAAAGACGAAATCAATTAGTATAACTG